AGCAGGGGGTGCCGCAGCAGCAGGAGGAGCAGGAGCTGGGCAGCAGGAGGAGCAGGGGGAGCAGCAGGAGAGCACAGGGGGAACAGGAGCAAGGAGAGCAGCAGTAGGAAGAGCAGCAGCAGGGGGAGCAGGAGCAGCAGCAAGAAGAGCAGCAGCAGGGGGAGCAGCAGCAAGGGGAGCAGGAGCAGGGGGAGCAGCAGCAGGAACAGCAGCAGGAAGAGCAGGAGCAGGGGGAGCAGGAGCAGGGGGAGCAGCAGCAGGGGGAGCAGGAGGAGCAGCAACAGGGGGCAGCAGCAGGGGAGCAGAGAAGGAGGAGCAGCAGCAGGGGGAGCAGCAGCAAGGGGAGCAGCAGCAGGAAGAGCAGGAGCTGGGGAGCAGGAGCAGCAGGAACAGGAGGAGCAGCAACAGGGAGCAGCAGCAGCAGGGCAGGAGCACAGGGGGAGCAGCAGCAGGGGGTGCCGCAGCAGGAGGAGCAGGAGCTGGGGCAGCAGGAGGAGCAGGGGAGCAGCAGCAGGAAGAGCAGGAGCAGGGGGGAGCAGCAGGGGGCCAGCAGCAGGGGGAGCAGCAGCAGGGGAACAGGAGCAGAGCAAGGGGAGAAGCAGCAGGAAGAGCAGGAGCAGGGGGAGCAGCAGCAGGGGGAACAGGAGCAGGGGGAGCAGGAGCACAGGGGAGCAGCAGCAGCAGGGGAGCAGGAGCAATGGGAGCAGCAGCAGGAAGAGCAGGAGCAGGGGAGCAGCAGCAGGGGAGCAGAGCAAGGGGAGCAGCAGGAGCAGGGGGAGCAGGAGCAGGGGGAGCAGGAGCATGGGGAGCAGCGGGGGGGGCAGCAGTAGGGGGAGCAGGAGCAAGGGGAGCAGCAGCAGGAGCAAGGGGAGCAAAAGCAAGGCGAGCAAAAGCAGCAGCAGGGGGAGCAGGAGCAAAGGGATTGGGAGCAGGAGCTGGAGCAAGGGTAGTGGGATCAGGGGGAGCAGCAGGAGCCAGGGAGCAGGAGCAGGGGGAGCAGCTGGAGCCAGGGGAGCAGGAACAGGGGGAGCAGCAAGAGGAGCAGGAGCAAGAGGAGAAAGCAGCAGCAGAGGGAGCAGGAGCAGCAACAGGAAGAGAAGGGAGAGCAGCAGGAGCAGCAGCAGGGGGGCGCAGAGGGAGTAGGACAGCAGGAGGGTGAGTAGGAGCCACAGCAGAGGGAGAAGGGAGAGCAGGAGAAGGGATAGCAGCAGTGGGTGCAGGAGCAGCAGCTGGGGGCACAGGAGCCAGGGAAGCCTGAGATGGGGAGCACAAACAACAGCAGGGGTAACAGAAGCAGCAGTAGAGGGAGCAGGGGGAGTAGCAGAAAAGTGGGGAGTGGGAGCAAGGGGAGCAAAGGCAGGGAGAACACTAGCAAGGATAGCTGGAGCAAAGGGAGCAGAAGGGAATGCAGGAGCTGGAGCAGCAGCAGGGGAAGCAAAAGGTCAGGGATAACAGGAGCTGGGGCAGAATGTGCAGGGAGAGCGGGAGCAGGCTGAGGCTTAGCAGGGAGAGCAGTAGGGGAGTGGGGAGCAGGGAAGAGTGCAGAAGGGGGAATAAGAATAGGAGCAGGCGGGTCAGGAGTGGAGAGCAAGGGCTGGGAGCAGGAGCAGTGGTGGAGTAGGAGCCAGGAGCATGAATGATGGAACAGCGGGAGCTGGGGCAGGAGGAGTAGCAGAAGGATAGAGGGAGCAGGGGGAGCAGGAGCATTGGAAGCAGCAGAAGGGTAGCTGGGGAGCTAGAAGGGGGAGCAGCAGGAGGATGGGGGAGCAGGAGAATCGGGAGCAGTGGGTACAGAAGCAGAGGGGATCATGAGCAGAGAAATTGGATTGGTGGAGCAGGAGCACAAGACGCAGGAGCACAGGGGCAAGAGGAGCAAGAGCAGAAGGAATCTGAGACTGAGCAGGGGGAGCAGGAGCAGAGAGAAGCAAAGCCAGAAGACAGGGGTGCAAGGTAATAAACAACCAGACCTCACAGATGTTACTGGGTTGTGACCTGCATACAATTACTCTGCCGTGCTCCCCTGTGCTCTTTCCCAGAACATACCTACAGAGACAAGATAGAACAGAATATTGGAAGGTGTATTTATTCAATTTCACGTTTCTACAATTCTTTAGCAAACAGCCAAAAAATACATTTAATGGTGAAATGGAATGAAAAATAGTGGCCATTAAGTAATACTGAAACATTAAAGCGCACAACAGAAAGAAACAAGGGCGACAAAGAATATGGTGTACAGACATCCAGCTGTTACAGGTAATGTTTGTGTCAGCAGCACATAAACCAATTAAAATGTCAGAATGGAACAATAAAGAGCAAACTTTTATATAAGAAACCACCTCAAATGCAAAGACACATATTGCGTAATAGGAACAGGAAGATATTCGTGCTTACACTAACAGACTGAAAGCAGGAGCAGTTAATTTAGGGACAGACTTCAGAGCCAGGAAAATTATTAGGCTACAGAGGGTTTTTATATGCCTGAATCGATTCTCAAGGAGATGTAACCCTTCAGATGTATGTACTGAAGTAGGACATCAAAATACGTGAGGCAAAGGTTAACAGACGTCTGAGAATAGCTAATCCTCTACTATGGTTGGCGCCCACGCTGAGAGACCCAGGAAGCAAACAATTAGGCCACAGCCACACGGGCAGCACCATCAATCACCTGAACGGAACTGACATCCACCGACCACTTAGTCCAGTAACAGCACATATTCTTCGCAACCTCTTGAGACAAAATACACTCTGATCAGGAAACACACCTTAACAAATGTTAAAAAGTAGGAAGTATAGGGGCCTCCCCGTTGGCGCAGCAGTTGAGCGCTGGGTTGCGAAGCTGCCCGCGCCCGAGGCGCCGGTTCACCACCGGAGGAGGGTCCCACATGGCGTGCAGACCCCTCCTGCCGCCCGCTGCTCCCCTCAGCAGTGTACTTCGGTCCTTCTGCCTGCTCTGCTCCCTGCTCTGGCTCTGGTGAATTCTCTCACCCTCCCGTGCTTCTGACTGTACCCAGTGCATGTATAAACAAACAAACAAACAAATAAAGCATGCCTCTATAAAAAAAAAAAAAACATAAGTTTAAAAAAAGTAGGAAGTATACAACACCTCGTCAGACCACAATGAAACAAGAAATCAGTAACAGGAGCATAAATTGGAACAGAAATCAAGAGAAAACCAAAAGATTTTACTCGACTAAGTTTAGGAGAAAATAATTTCTGGAATCAAAAATTAAATAGTGCAAACTGGTCCAACCATTATGGAGAGCTGTGTGGAGATTTCTTGACCTACTAAAGATAGAGCTTCCATATGATCCAGGAATTCCACTCCTAGGTATTTACCCAAAGGACACAGAAACATTAATTCCAAAGGGCACCTGCACCCCTATGTTTATAGCAGCACTATTTACAATAGCTAAGCTTTGGAAACAACCCAAATGCCCCAGAATAGATGACTGGGTCAAGAAGATGTGGTACATACACACAATGGACCATTACTCAGCAATCAAAAAAGATAAACACATGCAGTTTGCAGCAACATGGATGGAGCTAGAAGGGATCGTGCTCAGCGAAATAAGCCAGAAAGAAAAAGAAAAATACCGGATGGTCTCACTCATAGCAGGTTCAACATTCAAAAAATGAAATATAATTCATCACAGAAAAACTATACAATTCTATCAACACATCAGAGAAAAGTCACTTGACAAAATCTAACACCTGTTCATGAATAAAAACTCACAGCAAACTAGGCATAGAAGGAAAATTCTCAACTTGAAGGACAGCTACAAAAACCATGAGCTAACACCATACTTTATAGTCAAAGCTGCAAAGAGCAGATCAAAGTGTGGGTGTTGTCACCTTTCAACATGTTACTGAAAGTAAGTTAATGTGGCAAGGGAGGAAAAGTAAGTAAACAATGTAAATGGGTAATGAGGAAATAAACTGGCCCAGCTACAGTGGAAACAGAATGGAAGTTCCTCAAAAACTGTAAGTAAAAATACTGTGTGATCCTACTTTGGGTAAATAAACAGACTGGAAAGCAGGGACTTGAACAGATACACCTGCATTCACACTCACATTATTCACAGCAACCAAAGTACGGACAACCCAAAAGTCCATCAACAGGTAAATGAAAAATCGAGGTCTATACATGCACTGGAGTATTATTCAGCCTTACAAAAACAAATCCTCGCCCATGCTACAATATGGATGTTATGTTATGGGAAATAAGGCAGACCCGAAAGGACAAACACCACATGACTCCATAGGAAAGGCAGGGGAAGAGTCAAGTTCAGAGACAGTGGATACTGGTGGTGGTGGAAGGAGGTAAGAGAAGTCATTCTTTGATACAGAGTTTCGGTTTGGGATGATGAAAAGAGTGTCTGGAGCATGCTGATCAGGCTGTGCAACAATGCGCCTGCACTTGATGCCAGTGAACTGCACTTAGTGGTTAAAATGATACATTTTGTTGCTTATTTTACAATTTAAAAATGCCAACATGGTGGGACAGCAAGGCCCGGCAGCAGTGTGAAGGGAAGATGGTAGTGTGACCAGACATCAGAGAAGACCTCCGCTGAAGTGACTGCAAAGCAGAGCACAGATCAGTAAGAAACCCGGGTCAGAGACGTGTGGACGTGGGCGACTGAAGTGCCGTGGGACAGCACTCCAGGCAGAGGAAAGTGTGAAGTTGTGATGCAGAAGCACACTGTCATAAAGTGATGCCAGTAGTAACAGAGGGAAGGGAGTGACAGGAGAAAGATGTAAATGGTGATGCCAGTTGTATCAGCAAACACAGAGAGCTGTCCAGGCCCCTAAAACTTTGGATTCTATTCTGAGGGAAGGGGGAAGTCAGTGCAGGGTCTGACGCAGAAGGACATGATGTGATTGATGTTTCCAAAGGGCTGCTGTGTGGAGGACAGTGTCCCAAGGGGGACAGTTTCCTAAGGGAGATGGCTAACGGGCTAATAACTGCCAAGGACCCCGCCAGCAGCATCCCACCCACCTACCTCTCTGAAGTTGGATCTCGGTCACCCAAAGCTTTTCCTCTCTCTCCAACTGGGATATCAGATCTGGTTTTGAAAACGGGGGTCCTGTGAAAAGATTTAAATGTAAACATTATAGGCAAAAATTTGTGAAAAGTTTGGTGCCAAGCCCACAATGTAAGGCCCCCACCCACAAAGCACTGTCTGACAGTTTCTATCAGGACCCACCATAGGAGATACATTTAGTATCTGAAAATACATTACTGGGCTTCCCCTGCGGCGCAGCGGTTGAGCATTGGGCTGCGAAGCTGCCCGCAGCCTCTGCAGCGCCCGTTCAATCCCAGGCTGCCGGGCAAGGGTCCCACATGGCGCGCAGACCTCTCCTGCCATGCTCACTGCTCCCCTCAGCAGTGTACTTCTTCAGTCTGCCTGTTCTGCTCCCCACTCTGGCTCTGGTGAATTCTCTTACCCTCCCACGCTTCTAACTGTACCCAATGCTTGTATAAATAAATAAATGAATTTTAAAAAATAAATACATTACTGCCACACATCAATTACTAAAAGATCAAAGTGACCAGTTCACAACCAATTACCTGTTTTCATCACATCCTTTCTAGAAAGTCTCTAATCTTTTAGTGGCAGCAGCGGCTGCTACTGTTCCAGTGTGAGTCTTCCACTGTGACAGTTACTCTATTTTATACCATCACAAAAAAGCTGATGGAGCCCCTTAATTTCATGACACAGGTTTTAGAAAGACCTATGAAATGAGGAGGCTGCTGCAGACAAGGCCAAATGTTCACCTGTAGTTCATTTATAGAGGACACGTGTTTGCCTTGGAACAAAGACTAGAAGCACCTTGTCTCTATGCTCCAAAGGGACTGGAAAAAACTCTGGTCACTGAAGAGTCCTAAAGACTTGAACTAGTGGACTTGGGCCAAGAAGGCTGCTCAGCATCCTAAGAAGCACAGGCCACCCCACAACAAATAATATCTGGTCCTGAATGTCAGCGGTGCCAAGTCTGGGACATGGTGCATGTGTGAGGGGCTGGTGCCCAGTCAGAGCACAGCAGGCCCTCACCCAGCGACAGCAGATTCCTGAAGGTCTCCAGCATCACATCTCGGTATAGCTGCCTCTGGGCAGAGTCCAGCAGCCCCAGCTCCTCCTCCGTGAAGACCACAGCTACGTCCTTGAACACCACTGGCTCCTGCGCACCAAAGGGAAAGGCAGGTAAACTCAATCTCATAACCTCCTCCTCTGAGAGAAAGTGGGGGGGGTGGGGGGAAAGTGTGGGAAACAGATACAGATGCTACAGGATCTGAGCCACTCTATAGCAGAGTTTCTCCCTTCCTCCCCCTCCATAGTCATAACAAAATTTGGAGGGAAGACATGGGGTGGGGGGCAGGAGTGGAGGGGAGCAGGAGCAAAGGAACAGAAAGGAATCCACGGAATAATAAAAATGCCTTGTAAATGTGGACCTTTATAGTTAACTCTCTGGAACAGTCATTATTAAATCACTGCAAATCTGACAAGTGGCCTGGTTTGGCTGAGGTTCCTGACCAAGGCTGTGTCCATCGCCAGCTCTGTAACCTGGACAAGGCACCCAACTTCTTATACTGGTCCCCCTGATGTTTAGGGGATACAGCCCAAGATCTCCCCCCATGCCTGACACCTTGGAGAGTGCAGGACCCTCTCTATGCTAAGTTTCCTCCTATGCATTAACCAGTGATAAAGTCTGATTTATCAATTGGGCACATTTATAACTAATAAAACACAGCTGCATATATTCCATAAAAGTGACTACCTATAACATATTTACCCACTCCAAATAATGAAAACTTAATAATGCAAAAACATCCTTTTCCCCATATATCTCAGCCAATTCATCTGGTCAGTAACTGGTAAGTTTCAGGAAGTGTCACACTGTCAAAAGTTATGTATCCTTGGGCCTCCCTGGTGGTGCAAGGGTTAAGATACTACCTATGAAGCTGTCCCTAGCCTCTGCAGCATGAGTTCGATCCCCGGCGAGGGAGCAATCCACATGGCGCAGCAGACCTCTCCTGGCTCGCCTGCTGCTCCCCTCAGCAGTGTACTTTGGTCAACCAGCCTGTTCTGTTCCCCACTCTGTCTCTGGTGAATCCTCTCACCTCTGGCCTATACCCCAGCTCTTGTATGCATAAATAAATAAATCTTAAAAAAAATTATGTATCCTTATTTATCTTGCTATCAATAGTATCATAGCAATTTCCCAATTAACTCTTCCTCGAAGAGATTAGAAGTGTCCCTGATTCTCCACACTTGGCCAAGAATCGGGCATTTTCTTATTTTTAAAAAATCTTAGGTAATTTGGTAACATGCCAACATGTCACCGAATAAAACAGGTATTTGACTTTCACACAGATGGCTTAATTTGGGATTAAGAATCTGGCTCTTCTTTGAAGGCAACTAAAACAATTCTGTGACTTCAGTATCAGCTGGAGCCTTACGTCAGCCCTTCTTTCTTCAACATGTGGGGTACCATAAGAACGAATCCTTACAACTTAAAGTGTTAGCAGGCAGACTGAGGGCTGCCCCGGGCCCCCAGGGCTGCATGCCCTAAAGGGGCCAGGCCGACCATGTGCACAAACACAGAGCAGACTTAATGTGAAAGAACTAACACAATCAGTGTGCACGGAGAGAGAAACCCTGCTTGCCCAGCCAACAGGGTCTACCTGAAAGCTTGCCACAAGTCTAAGGCTCCTTGTGGGGAACCACAGGAAAGAGAAAGGGGCCACACAAAAGTCTGGGACAAAAGGAGCAAAATCAAAGTTCTAATCAAGAATAATGGCCACCACTGTCAGCCTCTCCACATCTCTCCCCAAGTATGCCTACATGTCTCCTCTCGATGTACCCCAAGTCCCTGGTGTAAGTCCAAAGCTGAGAAGCAAGTACCCTTCGTCTCCACATGTCCCCCTTTTGAGCCCACCTGCCTCGGGTGTCCTCTCCTGCCTCGCTCCCCGCAGCAGTGTTTTCAGTCCATCTGCCTGTTCTGCTCCCTGTTCTGTTTCTGGTGAATCCGCTCACCCTCCCGCACCTCTGGCCTGTACCCCAGCTCTTGTATAAAAATAAATAGATCTTTAAAAAAAAAGAAAAAAAGAAATAAACTTTAAAATCCCCAAACAGCACTTAAGCTACGAAAAACTGTATAAATACAAATGTGAAGGTAGGTGGGAACATGAAAACAGCTTATCTGTTAAACACGTTTATAACATTTTAAAAAACATCCCCTAATTCTCACAATCATTTGGAAATAAGCCAAAAGACAAAAACCTACACATAACAATTGCTCCAGAGCCTCTGGTTCCCTTCTACACTCGCCAAGCAGGAGAAAACTGTGTCCAACCTCGGTGAACTGAATGTCAGTTTAAGAAACAGAAAGGCAAATTCAACTTACCTGGAACTTGGTCATTTTGTTCCTCCTCCTGCTGGGAAAAGGCTGCGCTCTGGGAAGGCAAAACCAGAAAGGGAAAGCCATGATGAGAGAGCTGCCAACAGGCAGAACTGAGCCCCCTCTGCCAGACGACTTTGTTCAAGGACAATCTTTGACAAAGCCCAAACCCAAGTGCCTTGTTTCAAATCCTGCCACCTCCTCAGGAGGGAAGGCAGAATTTTCCTGTTCCCTTGTAGGTCATTTGGCTGGTCAAATAATTCAAGCGACATGACAGATTAAAAGAAAACTCAAATTTCATGACGTACCTAGGGGAGTCCCACATAGAAGAAGGACTCAAAAGGCAGTCATGGAGCTGAGGCTTATCTAACATCCTGAGCTAAGGAAAGGGACCTGGGGATGCAACGGGGAGGAGGCCACTTCTAGGGAGGCAGAGATGTCCAGAAAACAAAGGTTGCCCTGTGATAAGAAGTTCTGGGGACGGGTGAATGTAAACTTAAATTTACATTGTAAACTTAAAAATTCAGGCAGTTGACAAAGGTAACCAGCAAAGACAGAAAACAGAGTAGGTTTGTCATACAGAATCCAGTTGTCACCACCTCCTTTGACAAAAGCTTCTGGAGACCAGCTCGAGAGAAACACACGCACAAAGGGACAATGTCTCTTTCCCGATTTTCAAGGCTTTTCCTATGCCCACTCGTTCTTAAAATCACCAGCCTAAAATCATCCTTATACCAGAGGCATTTTGGGGTGGCAAATTTGCTCCCCTTCACTACTTTCTAGTGACTAGCAGTGTGAACTGGAGCAAGTTATTAACCAGTGGCCTCCCTGTGCCTCCACGCACCCACCTCTAAGCCAGGACGACAGCAGCACTCCCAACCCCCTGCAGCTCAGACAAGCAGGTGTTATTTGCAGCAGATGCTCCACAAACTCGCCCTCGCTTTCGTGCTTTCCAGAACATTAACTAAAAGAACTTGCAAATATTATAAACTGGAAGGACTGCAACAAAGTCTCTTCTCTCGTGTGTGATGGTAAATAATAACTAATGAAAACCTAAGGTTGCGAAGTCGTGTTGCACTTAAGTTGAAAACACGGAGTTGTGAAACTGAACACACAATAGAACTGAGTGACAAGACACACACTCCCTCTGCAAAGGGTCGCTTTTCTGTTCAGATAAACCAGAGAAGACTTTCCCCAGGATCCAGCTCAAGACAACTCTCCTTCCTAAACCAGAGGCGAGAAACAGTCCAGGGATCCAGGGACAGCCCCACAAGAGGCAGTGAGCAGTGGCGCAGCGGCTGGACTCCAATCCCTTCCCGGGCTTGCGGGAGTTAACAGGGCGCCCCTCTGGGTTAAAACAGCGCTTATGGGCGCTGCCAGCATTTTACGGGGCACTTGTTATTAAGCCTTTCGTATACACAGCAGTCTCACTGCAGTCTCACAAGAACGCTAGTGGAAGAGAACACTTTTTAGTCTTCAGAAAACGGACGCAAACGGAGGTCAAATAACTGGTTCAACAATTCACCTCAAGAAAGACGCAGAATTTGCTGGGAGGTCCAGGGAGAGGATTGGGGTAGGGCAGAGCGCTGGAGAACCCGCAACTCCGAGCAAGACGCGAGCCGTCCCCGATGCGCGAGGCCACAGCTAGCACCTGAGACCCGCGCGGCTGCAGCCTCCCTTTCTCCAGGAGGGAGCGCCGGGCTGCCGCGGGCTCCTCGCCGAAAGCGACAGGGCTCCGAGGGATTCAGGGACACCAGGTTACCTCACCTTAGTAGCAGCAATCACAGCCCGGCCTCGCCTTCTTGGAACGGAAGTGCCTCTGGTGGCAGTTCCCAGAGTACGCTCCCAGAATGCCCGAGCGGAAGCGCCTGGCGCTCACGCAGTTCCGGACTACATTTCCCAGAATGCCCCAAACGGAAGCGCCGACGCGCTTTTAACGCACGTCAGGAACTACTTTTCCCCAGAATGAGGCTGGCGGGACCGCGTTGCCCACCCGTTACTTTTGTTTCTATTGAAGTGGGTTGGGTTGGGACGTCTTCTCTGGGGCTTTGTCAGATTCCGTTATGTTTTATTCGTTTCTTACAGTTCTTGAGAAAATAATCGCGAACTTAGAAAACAAAGCCATAGGAATGAGAAGAGAGAGGCTTGCACTATGAAACCCTAAAGACCACTTTTTTCCCCCCAGGTAAGCAGAGAGTAGGTTAAAAATGGGAAATGTGACTTGAGCCGAAAGGCCTTACACAAACTGGAAGAACACTGGATTTCAAACTTGTTTGGAATGGAATGGCCGCGCCCCAGTTATCACCTGTAACTAACTGATGAGACAAAAAAAGAATCTATTGCATTTACTGCGATAAAGGAGAACACCCCCTTGCCCTGGTTTGGTGAACCTGCGGATGTACGCAGTGACCGGAATGAGCAAGCCTGCGCCCAAGACCTCGACCTGGGGAAACTTTGGAACCACATCACGGTACCGATATGTAGAACATTCCCTTCCAGATTCCTTCCCAGCAATCTCCACGGCAGGCTTACAGACGTGCTTATTTTTAAATTTACTTACACATACAAGAGCTGGGATACAGGCCAGAGGTGCGTAAGGGAGAAAGGATTCACCAGAGACAGAGTGGGGAACAGAGCAGGCAGATCGACTGAAGGACACTGCTGAGGGGAGCAGCGGGCAAGTCAGGAGAGGTCTGCTCGCCATGTGGGCTTCACCCTAGCCGGGGATAGAACTCGCGCTACTCCTGTTCTGGACAGAACTCTCATTTCTACTTTAGGTCTTTGGGGCGTGTCCTTTTCCTTTTCTGTTTCCCGAATGAAACCGAAGTTCTAAATAACTCCAGCAGGAGGCTACACAATTGCTTTTTCGGTGTGATATGGCAGCGGATATTATTAACGAAGAGTGGGGCCTTTTCCTCCTTTCATTTTCTAGAAATTGCTCGGGTAGTCGTGTGGACTGAGAAGCTCTAAATTAGTTGACAACATAGTTGGCTTTCAAAAGTTTCCACCAAAAATGCTATACTTAGGTTGCTCTCTTGTTCTAACTACACACGCACTGCATTTAAGACACATTGCTAACTTGGAGCTCAATTTACCAAGTTATATACTCCCTAGAAATGTGAGTCAGAGACAATAACATGTATCAGCAAGGATGTGGAAAAATTAGAACCCTTATACATTACTGGTAGGAATGTCAAATGGTGCACCTGTTTTGGAAAAGAGTCTGGCAATTCTTCAAAATGTTAAACATAGGCTTTCCATATGATTCAGCAACTTCTACTCCTAGGTACATAACCAAGAAAAATGAAAACATGTCCACAGAGATTCATAGTAGTATTATTCATAATAGCCAAAAAGTAGAAACAACCTTAACATCCCTCACCTAATGATGTTTATCTAAACAAAATGTGGTACAGTCATGCCGTGGAATATTATTTGGCTATATAAAGGAATGATATGATATGCTATAACATGGATGAATCTTGAAACATTATGGTAAATGAAGGAAGTCAATCACAAAGGATCATATATGTTACATGATCCTATTTAAATGAAATATTTAGAATAGGCAAATCTATAGACATAAATATTAGTGGTTGCTTGGGGGCAAAGGGCAACCTTGGGGATGATGGGGCGTGACTGTCTAAGGGTACAGGGTTTCTTAGTTGAAAGTTCTAACATTGTGGCGATGGTTTGTACAATTCTGTGAACATACTAAAAACCATTGAATTTACACTTTAAATGGGTAAAAAAAAGAAATATGAGTCAGGGAGACAAGAGTGTAAACCATTTGATCTACCAATTGCACCTAATTTCATTGTTTAGTTATTTTTTTGGCCCCAAAATTTCTGTGATTCCAAGTTCTCTTGTGAAACTTTCTATTTTGTGATCTGTTTTCTTGATTGTTCTAGTGAGTATTATTTTGAACTCAGTCAGATAACCCTGGTATCTAGGACAACCAAGTTCTGTTTCTGTTAATTTGGTCCTGAGTCTTACCAATGACATACATTACATATGAAAAATTAGAAAAGTTCTGGATGATTTTATCATGTTTTATATAGAAACAAATATTAAATCTAAGCGTGCCTAAACCAAACAGCTTCTTCTGAGCTGACATGCATCACATTGTTCACATCCATTATGTTATTCCAAAGTGAAAATGCTTCCCAGTGTATAATTTCAAATTTTGGTGCTTTATCATTTTGGGTCTTAAAAAAAAGGAATGCTAGATCTGGCCAGATTTGAGCAACTCTTGACACATTCTTAGTATTCATCTGTTATTCCAAAAAATGAAAGTCATTATCTTTGCATGATTTTAGGTTATATTCTTTGATTCATTAATGTTATGTAACACTATGATTTGGGTGAGTCCTCTGGGACAATGATGTCTCTGTACTGCTACAGAAGTAAACAGGAGCATTGATAAAATATAAATTTCATGGTTCTCAGTTTTCATTGCATTTTTTAAAAATATTCACCAGGAGAAAAGTAAAAATACATAAACATAGAAGAATATTGTGCCACCATTAAAATGATACAGTAAATTAATCAAAAAGAATTTTTTTTAACAAATTGATGAGTTCAAAAAAATCCAAGATATTAGAAAATAGTATGCATCGTATAGTCCCCATCTTGAAAAAACACAGGGTTATTTGCCTAGATAATATCAGGCATAGGACACCTAAGTATTTATTGTATGTATCTGAGTGGTGAGCTTGAATTTTCACTGATTTTCAGTTTTCCACTTTGAATTTTTCTGTACAATTTCATTTGCAACATCCGGGTGTTAATTTCAAGTCAGTTTACTGAGGTGTAATATACACATTACATTTACTTACTGGACAAATGTGTGATCTTAACACTACACCACTAAAATTAAGATAGGGAACATTTCCAACACTCCGGAAAGTTCCCCCATGTCCTTTGTGAACAATCCCTCCACTCTCCCTAGGCAATCACTTACCTGTCCCTGTCATTTTGCCTTTTTAAAGGATCACACAGTAATATGTGGCCTTTTGAGTCTGGCTTCTTTCTCCAAACACAATGCATTTGCGATTCATCTTTGTGGTTGCATCAGTGGTTTGTTCCTTTTATTGCTGAGTATGATTCCAAACAAACGAATAAACATGGTTTGTTTTCCATTCTCCAGTGGATACATGTGTTCTTTTGAGGTTTCATAACTTTAATAATGCTACTTTAGCATACAGGTATGTCGGAAACCGTTTCCATGGGATTACTGTGATGTATGCTGTGTGGATAAGCAGCTATAGCTTGTTTCAAATGGGCTGTAGCATTTTGCACTTCTATTGTGATGTCTGAAGGCTCCCGTTGCTCTGGACTTGATAGTGTCCAGTTTTTCATTTGAGTTATTTTTAATAGGGTTTATCTCATTTTTTAAAGATTTATTTATGTGCCTCCCTAGTGGCACAAGGGGTTAAGACGCAACCAATGAAGCTGTCCGCAGCCTCTGCAACACGAGTTCGATCCCCAGCCCACCAGGGAGCAAACCACATGGCACAGCAGACCTCTCCCGTAGCACCCGCTACTCCCCTCAGCAGTGTATTTCACTCGATCTGCCTGTTCTGTTCCCTGCTCTGTCTCTGGTGAATCCTCTCAGCCTCTGCACCTCTGGCCTTTACCCCTGCTCTTGTATGCATAAATAAATCTTAAAAAAAAAAAAAAAAGATTTAGGGCCTCCCTGGTGGCGCAAGGGGTTAAGACGCAACCTATGAAGCTGTCCGCAGCCACTGCAGCACAAGTTTGATGCCTGGCCAGGGAGCTACCACATGGCACAGCAGACTTCTCCTGACTTGCCTGCTGCTCCCCTCAGCAGTGTATTTTGGTCGATCTTCCTGTTCTGTTCCCCACTCTGTCTCTGGTGAATCCTCCCACCCCCCCCTCCACATCTCTGGCCTGTACCCCAGTTCTTGCATAAATAAAAATCTTAAAAAAAATAAAAGATTTTTTTATGCATACAAGAACTGGAGTACAGGCCAGAGGTGCAGGGGGTGAGAGGATTCACCAGAGATAGAGCAGGGAACAGAACAGGCAGACTGACCGAAATACATTGCTGAGGGGAGCAGTGGACGAGACAGGAGAGGTCTGCTGTGCCATGTGGGTAGCTCCGTGGCCCCCCAGGGCTCGAACTTGTGCTGCAGAGGCTGCAGATAGGTTCACAGTGCTGTGCTTAACCTCTTGTGCCACCAGGGAAGCCCTCATTGTGGTTTTGACTCAAATTTCCCTAACAACTAGTGATGTTGATCATAATAACAAGTGCTTGTCTGACTTCTTTAATGAAATGCCTGTTCAAAAAAAATTTTTTTTTTTAAAATAGGTTGTTTCAACCCAAATGCCCAAAACAGATGACTGGATCAAGAAGATGTGCTATATATACACAATGGAATATTATTCAGTGATCAAAAAAGATAAACTCATGCCATTCGCAACAACATGGCTGGAACTTGAAGGAATTATGCTCAGTGAAATAAGCCAGAAGGAAAAAGAAAAATATCGAATGGTTTCACTTATAGCAGGAATATAGGGGAATCCAATAAGACATCAGAGTAAAAAAATACTAACCGCAAAACACAACAAAGCAAAAACGGACAATTATAAATCAGAGATACAGTGCAGGGGAGGAGCAAGGAGAGGGTCAGAGGGAGGGAGGAAGGGAGGAGCACAGGGGACTGAGGTGATGGTGCACGGGTGCATTGGTAAAGGGAACTCTATGGGGAACTACACCTGAGGGGGTGGGGGGAAGCAAATATTGTTTAAAAATGAACAATGATGTAAAAAATAAAAAAAAATAGTATAAAAAATAGATTATTTCTCAGTATTTAGTTTGGATAGTTCTTTATATATTTTTATATACCTGTCTTTTAAAACACGTTTTGCAAATGTTTTCTCAGTCTATAGTTTCTCTTTGTTTTCATAACAGTGGTCTTTTGAAAAGCAGAGATTTTAAATTTTGATGAAGTGTAATTTATTGAATATTTAGATATGGATCATACTAAGAACTCTGCCTAACTCGAGGTAACAAAACCACCACCACCACCACCACCACCACCACCACCACCACCCCAACCCATGTTTATATTTAGGGCTAAATTCCATTTTTAATTAAAATTTTTGGTGTGCTCTATAGGTTGAGATTCATCTTGTGCACACGGATTTATAAACACAGTTGAAAGACATTTAATGCTTTGCTACCTTTGTCAAAATCGATTGACTATTTTTGAAATCTATTTCTGCACTCTAGTATGTTCTACTGTTGTGTTTATTCTTCTACAACAGTCTTGATTACAACAGATTTATAGTAAATCTTTAGATAACATAGTGTGAATCTTCCAACGTGATTTTTTAAAAATATACTTTTAGACTAGACTAGTTTCTTTGCTTTTTGCAATAGATTTTAGAAGTAGTTTGTTGATTTCTGTAAAACTTTTGGGATTGAGAATGGAGCTGTTGTATTTATAGGTCAGTTTAGGATAAATGGCTTAACACTATTCAATCTTCCCTTACATGTTCAAGTCCTATCTATTTTGAGTGCTTTTAAATCATTCATCAGCATTTCATAGTTATTATGGAAATCACACAACTCACCCTTCATTTACACACACACACAGTATTACTGTTTCCTTAGTCTCCATTTCCAGTAGTTCATGACTAGATGATTTTTGTATATTGACCTTGATCCTAACTCACTAATTGGTTAGACTAGATTTTTTTGTTGATTCTTTGTGCTCTACATAGAAAATCTTGTCTTTTTATGTCTTCCTTTTCTATCTGTATATCTTTTCTTTTTCTCACCTTAGTACATTGGCAAATATCTCCTGTATGATGTGGAAATGAGGTTTTGCAAGAAGTCCTTGACTTGTTTACAAACTAAGGGCGAAACTTTCACTTTTTCACCATTAAAAATGTTACTAGTATTTTGTGAACCTCCTTTGAGAGAGGCTGCCTTTAATTCCTAGGTTTTATTGTTCAGTTATGAATTGATGTTTAATTTTGTCAAATGGTTTTTCTGTATTTTCTGTGGATGTAGTTAGCTTGATTTTTGTATTGAAACACTCCGCATTTCCAGAATCTAAACCACTTTCTCATGATCCTTTTTATAAATTGCTGAGTAATAATACTGACTTCTGTATCTATGTTCAAGTTTTCTGATCTTACAATGTAATTTTTGGATTATCAAGATGTTAGCTTCATAACATGAAAGGTTTCACTTTTTTTTTTCCTAAGATTTGTGTAGAATTGTAATCATTTCTTCCCTTAAATATTTGGCTAGAATTTGCCAGGAAAACCATCTAATCCTAACTTTGTTAGTTTCTATCTTTAAGTTCAACTTCTTTAAGAGAAAAGGATTATTCAGGTTTTCTTCTTGTGTATGCTCTGGAATTTGTGTCTTTCAAAGAATCTGTACATTTTGTTTACTCTAGCAAATTTATAGGCATAAAGATGTATGGATACTTCACCCCCTATAAGTCATGCAGTGGGTTGACATTCTGGGAATTTTGTGCCTGGTGTGAGGTAACTGACATCACTTGCTCAATAGTTTATTCCTGTTTGGGTCAGAGAACATACTTTGCACGATTTCTTCTAAGCTTGGTGTGGTTTCTTTAATGGTCCAAAATATGATTTGAATATTCTAAGTGCACTTGAAAGAAACGTGAATTTGACCAATCTTGAAGTGTTCTCTAAGTGGCAAAAAAAAGTTAAACTGGGTGATACTGGTGTTCAAGCTTTCCATAGCCCTAGTGATATTCTGCCATCTTGTTTTATAAAATACTAAGAGACATGTTGAGTTTCTCCAGCAACAACTGTGATTTTCTCACATTTTTTGTTTCATGAATCTTGAAGCTTTGTATTAGGTCCATGGACATTTGGGATTGCATGTTTTCCTGGTACATTCCTGGTAATATCCCTTATATGAATTCTTTGTTGATTATTAATACAGCTAGTCCAGCTTTCTTTTGACTTGTTTCAGCATGACATACCTTTTTCCATGCAGTCTTCTAACCTACTTACCTCTTTATATCTAAACAGGATCTCTATAGGAAACACATAGCATATAGTTTGGTCTTGCTTTTGTTTTTTAATTATCCAATCTGACAATGTTTTAAATGGTATGTTTAGAACATTTACTTTTTTATTTAATGACTTTTTTTTTAAAGATTTATTTATTTTATACAAGCACTGGATACAGTCAGAAGCACGGGAGGGTGAGAGAATTCACCAGAGCCAGAGAGGGGAGCAGAGCAGGCAGAAGGACCGAAGTACACTGCTGAGGGGAGCAGCGGGCGGCAGGAGAGGTCTGCGTGCCATGTAGGACCCTCCTCTGATGGCAGGGGAGCAGCCGGGGATTAAGCCGGCGCTGCAGAGGCTGCTGGGCAGCTTCGCAACCCAGCGCTCAACCGCTGCACCACCGGGGAGGCCCTAGAACATTTACTTTTAATGTAATTATTGATACAAGTGGATGGATTGATATTATTGGGACCTACTCTTATGCTTTTGTTCAACTTTTGATAGATCCAAGTCTATACCTGATTTGCTCTTACTCCTGCCTTTGGAAATTCCTTTAATATTTTTTTGTAGCTAGGTTAACAGGTAGTGAATTCTGTCAGCTTTTGTTCATCTGAAATTCCTTATTTTTGTATACTTAAAAAAAAGGTAAGTTGGTATTATTGATTTAAAAGTATTTTGCTTCTTAATGTTAAAGCTGTTATTTCAATGCCTTCTGGTTTGCATGGTCTTCGATGCAAAGGCTTTCTTTTCCTTGTATGTTATGTTTTTCCCTCTGTCTGCCATTTATATTTCCTCTGCACTATTTATTTTCAGCTGTTTGGCAATAATGTTTAGGTTTTTTGTTTTGATTTAAAATATTGTTTGGATATTCTGAGGTCTTTGGATATGAGTGAAGCCTTACATTATTTTGGTGAAAATCTCAAACATTATCCTAAATATTTTCCTTCTGATTCTCTCTTCTTTCCCTTTGGGATTCCAAGAAAGTTTCCCCATAATTCTTGGGTACTCTGTTTTCATCACAATTTTTGTTTTAAGTTTGTATGGTTTTGCTGCATCGATATTCAAGTCCTCTGACACTTCTCTCAGCTGTGCTGAGTCTATTCATGAGACTTCCCAAACTATCCTTTATAACAAATTTTCCTTTCTAGCATTTAACACATCAATCAGTTATGTAAAATACTCCATTTCTCAGATACAGTCATCTCCAAATGTGGTTTCACTGATTTACTGCTTCTTGGCAGAGTCATGTGTTTTGTATCTTGTAATTTTTGACTGAATGCCAGATAGCATGTATAGAACAACAGAGACTGAATAGTATTTTTGCCTCGGCATACCCGTTCTGCTAGGATATTAGGGTTGGGTTGAATAGATATGATGATACTATGCAATTTTAAGTAGCACCTGGGAAGCCAGATTAGGCCAGTGCTTTGGTCACTCCAATCATCCTACAGGGAGAAATTGGACAGACAATCCATAGTACACCAATTTACACTATGACTGAAATGCTCTAGGGCACTGTAGGCTGTGTGGACTTTAAGACAAAGAAATTTCACAGAAAGTTAAAATTTCTGACATCTCTTATCTATCATTAAAAATCTAGGGAATTATGAAAATTAACTCCAGAAAATTTATTCCTTAATTTTTGTTCAGAATGCTATATAACGAAACAGAGTAATCATATTGTGAGTTTTAACTATAAGGGGTAATATCTCAGTTGTAGTTTATTGCTTTGGAAAAACTGGTTAATGTTAATTATAACTTTTTTTTTAAATGAAGTACAAAAAAAAAACTAATCCAAAATTTTGTCAGATAAAGTCACTGTATACATGATGATGAGTAATCACTTACATATAATCTGCTAAACATATAATGAAACATACATGTACACAGACTTAAAATTGATTATGAAGGAACAATCCACATTTTCACTAAAAATATGCTTTTAGACTGATTCTTTTAGACTGAGTCTATACTTCCTATAATTCCATGTTATAACAATGTATATATATATAGAACTCTTCAACTCCAACTGATGGACATTTCCAGTTTAAAAAACTATCTGCACATGTTGTATACATTCTTTCTCACTGTTAAAATTGCTTTATCATAAATTATTCCAATTTCCAGATGGGCACACACATTTTACATCTTGATGTGTATTATATGGCTCTTCTCTAACAAGTTTGTATCTTTCATTCTCACTAACAGAATGCACTGTTTCCTTGAAGACAGAGACTAGCAAGTAAAAAGCAATCTATACTAGTTCCAATATATTTGATAAAAATGGTTAGAAAAAAATCAAGATGGTTCCTTTTCTTATGTGAGAAATATGGGGGTAGAGAAAAGTCCTTCAAATCCATCACAGTTCTTGCCTAGGCACAACTGAGTTGGGCAAAGGTTACAATTCTCAGAAAAGTTATATGAAAAGGACGCTGATGGAGACTAGAAAACCAAGTATTGTATTCTTGACATTTATTAGGTATTTTTCATTAGTAACCACTCCTGACAGTTTCCAAATATTCCAGTAAAACTGTGCGTTAACACACATGGTGAAGTCTCAATTCTGTAAAATGTAGTGTTCTGTTTTTGCAAAATTAACCAGAAACATCATTTATCAGTTTTTACTGTCATTCAAAGTGCACACACGTGTGCAAACACTCACACACACGACTAAACTTAAACTAATGTTATATTGTGTAGAAATAAAAGATAAGACTCAGTTCATCTCCGCTCAACATGGAACAAAGAACAGGAACCAAACTCAACAGGATTACCATCAAATTCAAGTAATTTTAAATTGCAATATTGCCTGGTATTCTACATTTCCCATAATATTTACTTACTTGAAGTGCTTATTGTGGATGTTACTTAAAGGACTACTCCTTCCAAAGATTTTTAAATGATTTTTTTTTTTTTGAAATGACAATAAACATTTCAGCCAGGATATCTTTACACACATTTAGTCATTTAGCAAAAGGTACACTGAGTCGAGCACTATCATGGTTTTGTATATTTAGCACCGAATGAACTGAAGCCCTTCTCTCATTAAGCTTACATATTGGTGGACAAGGCCTGAACATGCTCAACATTGTACTTATGTTCCTGACCATATTCTTATCCTTTATCTATCCTAGTGCAATGACAAAAGTCGTGTGCAATCACTCATACTAAATTCTGACAAAATCCCTTACAGAACCCCTCTCACTAGACGTCTCTGCTGTGTGGTCTCCTGAGTACTCGGAGTGTTGAGATTGGGGAGAAATTACATTTTCATTAAAAAAAAAAAAATTTTTTTTTTCTATGATAAAAACTCAAATGGTGTTTTTTTTGCTTCCATTTGAGGACTTCAAAACAGAACACTATTTTACATAACTTCATTTCTGTATGGATTCTGTGACGAAGGATAATCTTTACCATACACTTCACTTTTATAGAATTTATCACCACTATGGACTCTCTGATGAATTAGAAGCCCTGAGCTCCAGCGGAAGCCCTTACCACATGCATCACATTTGTAGGGTTTCTCTCCTGTGTGGACTCTCTGGTGAGCTTGAAGGTTTGATCTCTGACTGAAGCCCTTCCCACATACCTCACACTTGTATGGTTTTTCCCCAGTGTGTACCCGATGATGGGCTTGAAGGCTTGAAAACCCACTGAACCCCTTTCCACACTGTTCACATTTATAGGGTCTCCCTTCTGTATGGACCCTCTGATGTGCTTGAAGGCGTGAACTCTCACTGAAGCCCTTGGTGCACACCTCACATTTGTACGGTTTCCCTCCAGTGTGGACCCTCCGATGTGCTTCAAGACGGGAACTCTGACTGAAGCCCTTCCCACACATCTCACATTTATATGGTTTCACTCTAGTGTGGACTCTCTGGTGACCCTGAAGATACGCTCTCTGACTGAAGCCCTTCCCACATACCTCACATACATACGGTCTCTCTCCAGTGTGAACACTCTGATGGCTTTGAAGGTATGATCTCTGGCTGAAGCTTTTACCGCACTCATTGCACTGGTATGGCTTCTCTCCTGTGTGGACTCTCTGATGAGCCAGAAGAGTTGAGGCCTTACTGAATCCCTTACCACATTCTCCACATTTATAGGGTTTCTCTCCTGTGTGAACTCTCTGATGAATTTGAAGATTAAAGCTCCAGCTGAATTCCTTCCCACATTCCTCACATTTGAATGGTTTTTCTCCAGTGTGGACTCGCTGATGTCCTTGAAGGTGTGAACTCCGACTGAAACCCTTTCCACACTCGTCACACTTGTAGGGTTTCTCTCCAGTGTGGACTCTCTGATGGCCTTGAAGGTATGAACTGCGACTGAAGCCCTTCCCACACGCCTCACATTTGTATGGTTTTTCTCCGGTGTGGACTCTCTGATGGGCTTGAAGGTATGAACTCCGACTGAATCCCTTATCACACTCCTCACATTTATAAGGCTTCTCTCCTGTGTGGACTCTCTGATGAACGTTAAGAACTGATCTGTGGCTGAAGCCTTTACCACATATACCACATTTGTACGGCTTCTCCCCAGTGTGGACTCTCTGATGATCCCTGTGCTTTGTCCTCCAATTGAAGCCCTTCCCACACTCCTTATAAGGCTTCTGTCCGATGTGAATTTTCTGATGGCTTTGAAGACATGAATTTTGGCTGAAGAGGTTACCACAACCATAATGTTTATATGGTTGTTCCCTAGTGTAGACTAAGTGAAGGTCCTGGAAATGTGAGGCCAGATTGAAGCCATTCACACACTCCTCAGAATTGTAAGGATTCTCTCCCAGGCAAACTCTATGCTGGATGTTAAGATCTGAAGTACAAATGAAACTCTTTCTACATTCCACATCTGTGTGTTGTTTCTCTTCAGTATGTATTTTTTGATGGACATGAAGGCAAGAACTTTGATTAGCGACATCCCTGTTCTCTTCATATTCAAGGGGTTCTTCTCTAGTATGAGTCCTTAAAATACTACTAAGGTCTAAGCTATGACTGAAAGCTTTCTCATAAATGCTGCATCTATGGGATGTTTCTCCTGGGTAAATAACTTTGTAAGTGTTAAGAGAGGAGCACTGACTGAAGTTCTTGCCATATTCACATTTACATGGCTTCCCTTCTGTCTGCATTCTCTCACAGGGTTGCAGATATGAAGTCGCAGAGACACAGCCATCTCTGTGAACACCTTCATGAATATGAAGAGCTGAACTACAGTCCTTTCCACACAAACTGCATGTCTGGAGTTTCCCTGGTAAGTGTAACTGTTGAACTTCAGAGCTGGAGCCATCCCTGAAGGCTCCTCTGTGCTCATTACAAGGGCAGGGCTTTTGCCATGTTTGAATTAAATCTTGATTATGCAATGACACTTGAGTGACATCTTCACCACAGTCATGGCAGTTGTAGTTCTGTTCCTTTCTGTGCACCCCCTGGTTATCATTGTGATGTGAGATACAACAGATGCTGTTACAGGCCTTAGTCTTCAGGGAAGTTTGCTGACACCTACACTGATAATTATGTGACTCTGTCAGGCACATTTTCCTCCAAGAGTGCTGGGCTCTCCAAGATGGAAATTCTAGATGTCTGATATCACTGGAACCATTTGCTCTATGAGTCAATACATAGTTCTCATCCTCGGAAATCTGAATTGGCACTTCTGCCCGTACCTGGCACGAGGAATCACCTTGTTTTTGAAAATGAGAAATAATCCCTTGAAAATTTTTTATGGAATCTGAATACTTGGTCAACCTGCCTGCACCTTGTTGGCAGGTCTGCCAAGAGGAAAGCTCTTTGGGGGAAAAGTAGCTTAATCCCACTTCTTGAAAAGGCTCCATATTATGTTTGTTCTTGGTTCCTATAAGGATAAAGAAAATTTAGACGTGCACAAGTGAATGCTCTCATTCGGAGATCTCAAAATTTTGCACCAAGGTCATAATAGGGAACTTCCATTAACTTAGAAATGGCTCTTCTTTGCCTGCACCACAAATACAAGTAGGATAGCCACATAATTCTGGCTATCTGCCTCAAAATTAGGAATTTCAACACTTGGACATTACATATGGTGGCCATGTTCAAAAGGCCTAATAAAACCATACTCATGTTATCATGGGTTGCCTGGAGATCCGAGGAGAAAACAGAAGGCATGTTCTCAAATTGGAAACAATACAGTTTCAAGAAGTTAAATGCCTTTTGTCCCAATGACTTGTTCTTTTTTCTCATGCACCTGGACATGGTGATGTTTTTGTGTGTTTGAAAGGAGATAGTCAAACACTGTGTAAAAAAGGTAAACACAGCCTTTTAATCTGTGCTTACAGCATCATATGGGCCCATCTCCAATGTGCATTTATCTTCATAGGAATAAGCTCATCTAAGTCACTGTAAGCCATTATTAGTGTTAACCCCATTCTGAAGATATTTCACAATTACCAAGGATTATGGTGCAGGTGAGAATGTGAAACACTGTAACAGAATTCTACTCCAATGACATCAGAAAAAAGTAGAGGCACAGCTAAGCACAGCCAAGCTTCATGATACCTGCAGGTGTCCTTTGAGTCAACTCATCAAATAAAACACAAGGCCACTGACTTTGACTGGTATCATTTTACTGGAAAATTAATGTTGAAGGAATCTGAGGCAGCAGAAAAGTTGAAGTAAGACATGTTTGGGTGACATGGCTTGTCAGTTATTAATACTCAGATTATAAGCAGACAGCAGACTGACATCCTGATAAGAAGTCTCCTCCTCTGCGGACAACTGGTTCATCTGGGTTGCAATAACAACACGTAGCCTTTTATACTTAAGCATCCCAAAGAGAAAGCAGTAAGATGATTTTTGATTTTATAATGAATATAATCCTCAAATATAATAATTCTTCTTTAACTATCTGTACTTGTCTGTCTCTCCACAGTGGGGGGTGTTACCCACAGGGCAATCACTGTGTTGTGCGCAGCATCACCCGCACTGCATACAACACTCCTCAAGAGCACATTCTTTTTTTTTTTTTTTAATTTTTTTTAATAGAGGCATGTTTTATTTATTTATTTATTTTATTTGTTTGTTTGTTTTGTTTATACATGCACTGGGTACAGTCAGAAGCGTGGGAGGTGAGAGAATTCACCAGAGCCAGAGCAGGGAGCAAAGCAGGCAGAAGGACCGAAGTACACTGCTGAGGGGAGCAGCGGGCAGCAGGAGAGGTCTGCAAGCCATGTGGGACCCTCCTCCGGTGGCCGGGGAGCAGCCGGGGATCGAACTGGCGCCCCAGAGGCTGCGGGCAGCTTCACAACCCAGTGCTCAACCGCTGCGCCACCGGGGAGGCCCAAGAGCACATTCTTAATGTGCATTCAGACAGCAAGAGAAGCTGAGGCATTTTGTGGGCAGTAGAAGATACAGAATAATACTTCAGCTGCAGTGCTGGCTACTTTCTTTAATCACATCAGAGCTTCAGCTCTTCAACAGAGGATACTTAACTTTTTTTTTAAAAATTTATTTATTTATTTATACAAGCACTGGGTATAGTCAGAAGCACAGGAGGATGAGAGAATTCACCAGAGCAAGAGGGGAGAGCAGAACAGGCAGACTGATGAAATACACTGCTGAGGGGAGCAGCGGGTGGCAAGAGAGGTCTGCGTGCCATGTGGGACCCTCGCCCAGTGGCCAAGGATCGAACCGGCACTGCAGAGGCTGCAGGCAGCTTTGCAACCCAGAGCTCAGCCGCTGCGCCACCAGGGAGGCCCGGATACTTAACTTTTAAAGGACTTCTCTTTCTCACAACTGAATGCGTTTCTATTTTTCTCTCTTTTGGATTTTATAAATTATTGATTCAAATGTCTTTACCAGACATAGGCATATTCAGATTGCCTATTTCTTCTTTTTTCTTTTTTAAAGATTTATTTATTTACTTATTTATTTATACAAGCACTGGGTACAGTCAGAAGCACGGGATGGTGAGAGAATTCACCAGAGCCAGAGCAGAGAGCAGAACAGGCAGAGTGATGAAGTACACTGCTGAGGGGAGCAGCGGGAGCAGCAGGAGAGGTCTGTCACACCATGTGGGACCCTCGCCGGTGGCCAGGGATCAAACCGGTGCTGCAGAGGCTACTGGCAGCTTCACAGCCCAGCGCTCAACCGCTGCGCCACCAGGGGTGGCCCTGCCTATTTCTTCTTATATGCGTTTTGGCTAATTGTCTTCCAAGGAATTGGTCCATTTCACCTAGGTTATTAAATTCATGGGCTTAGTCTGTTCACAGTATTTATTAACATTTTAATGCCTATAGTAATCTATAGCAATATCTCCTTTTATTTTTGACATTAGCAATTTGTGTCCTCTCTCTCTCCTTTTATTTTTAGTTAGCCTGGCTTCAAAGTTTACTGATTTTATTGATATTTTCAAAGAAACAGCTTTTATGGTTTCATTGATTTTATCTGTTGCTCTTCTGTTTTCTGTTTCATTGATTTCTGTTCTAATTCTTACTGTTTATTTTCTTCTGCTTACTTTGGATTTAATTTGTTCTCTTTTTCCTAAAGTTTTCCTAAGGTGGAAACTTAGATGACTGATCCTAGATTCTTCTTCTTGGCTAATACATGGTTTCAATGCTATGTATCTCCTTCTAAGCACTGTTTTCACTGCATCCCACACATTTTAGTAAGTTCTGTTTTCATTTTCATTTAGTTCAAAATATTTAAAAATTTCCTTTGAGAATTCTTCTTTGATCCATGGGTTCTTTGGAAGTGTGTCATTTAATTTCCAGGTATTTAGGGGATTTTCCAGTTAATTAAATTATTAATTTCGAGTATAATTCCATGGGTCTAAGAGCAGATTTTGTATGAATTCTATTTCTCAAAATCTGTTAAAGCGTGGATTTATGGCCTAGAAAGTGTTCTATCTTGTGGAATGTTCCATGTAAGCTTGAGAATAGGAACTCCATCTTTCCTATTGTCTACATTAACAATGGCTCCAAAATTCCATGCCACAAAGCTATCATTTTAGAATTGCAGTTTTAACTCAAACCATGCAGGTAAATATATAATATATAAAAACGGAATAGGATTATGGGGGTTTGGAAAAGAGTAAAATGCTGAAAACAAAGACTATCATTTATATTACAGGATAAAATTGGTCAGTCTACTACAGCCCAAGATTAGGTATCTAACACAGTATTAATGATCAACAAAGTCATTCTAAAAATTGTAAGAAAAAAAGTGATTAAATGGAGGTATAATTCAAAATAGATTTGTCATAATCTATGAGCAACATGTCATTTTATCACTATCTCCTTCATGAATGAAGTAAAATTAATGCAAATGTATTAAGTGTTCTAGTAAAGAGGGAACTGGACAAGAAATTAAAATGCACATTTCAGACAACAAAATATTTATGAAAGATTGAATTAAAAATTAAGGGTTAGTTTAGGTTAACATATAGTTAAGTTACAATTGCACAACTCTTAAAACAGTGATGTTTGATGTTCTAATAAAGCCTTAAGGGAATTAAAATGTTCAAGAAAACATCTGGGAACAGCTGTCTGAGACCTACTTACAGGAATGGGAAGTTTCTTTATTCAGTGCCAGATAATTATATCCTAAAGGCAGCAGAATTAAAGAGGAGAAATTTATAGGGACCATTTCACAGAAAAACACCTACTTCTCAGCTGTTCCTTTTTTTACTGTGGGGAGTGAATTCAAGTTGCAACAGAGGCTATTCAGAGTAGAAGAAATAGTATCTGTGAGAGAGTGTTTAAAGATAATGCTGGAGAAATCTGGCCCACCAGAAGACTCACATTAAAAAAAAATGAATCTGCATATATGGTCAACTAATCTTTGACAAAGGAGCAAAGACTATGCATTGGAGCAAAGAAAGTTTGTTCAATAAATGGTGCTGGGAAAACTGGGTCGCTACATGCAAAAGAATGAAGCTTGACCACTACCTCACACCATACACAAAAATCAACTCAAAATGGATTAAAGAACTAGACATAAGACCTGAAACCATAAAATACATAGAAGGAAATATAGGCGAAACACTACGTGATATGCACATCAAAGACATCTTTACAGACACATCACCCAAAGCAGTGATAGTGAAGGCAAAGATAAACAGCTGGGACTACATCAAATTAAAGAGCTTCTGCACAGCAAAAGAGACAATAACAAAAACAAAGAGAAACCCCACCCACTGGGAGAACATTTTTGCACACAACACTAATGATAAAGGACTGATCACAAAAATCTGCAAAGAGCTGATGAGACTCAACAACAACAAAGAAAATAATCCAGTCAAAAAATGGGCAGAAGAGCTAAAAAGAAACTTCTCTGAAGAGGAAATGCAAATGGCCAACAGGCATATGAAAAAATGTTCAACATCACTTGTCATCAGGGAAATGCAAATCAAAACTACCATGAGATACCATCTTACACCAGTGAGAATGGCACGTATTAAAAAAACTAGCAACAACAAATGTTGGCGAGGGTGTGGAGAAAAAGGAACTCTTCTGCACTGTTGGTGGGAATGCAAACTGGTCCAACCACTATGGAGAGCTGTGTGGAGATTTCTGGACCTACTAAACATAGAGCTTCCATATGATCCAGCAATTCCACTCCTAGGTATTTACCCAAAGGACACAGAAACATCCATTCCAAAGAGCACCTGCACCCCTATGTTTATAGCAGCACTGTTTACAATAGCTAAGCTTTGGAAACAACCCAAATGCCCAAAAATAGATGACTGGATCAAGAAGATGTGGTACATATATACCATGGAATATTACTCAGCATTCAAAAAAGATTAACACATGCAATTTGCAGCAACATGGATGGCGCTGGAAGGGATCATGCTCAGCGAAATAAGCCGGAAAGAAAAAGAAAAATACCGGATGGTCTCACTCATTGCAGGAATCTAGAAAACTTAAATAAGGGACCAGGAAAATGAATAACTATAAGAAAGTGAAAATCAAAATCAACAAAAAACTATGAACCAGAGACACTTTTTGGGGGGTGGGGGGCGGGAGGGGAGGGATTGGGTCAGAATGGGGGGGTTGCAATTGTATGGGGAATATAAAAATAAAATTTATTATTTTAAAAAAAAATGAATCTGCAGAATGAAACTACAGCATTTCCTTGGCATGGAAATGGCAGTCTTGGGAACCCATGAGTTTCAAAAAGGTGGATGGGCTGCTCTGGGAAAAGCTTGCAAGGCAATGGATAGGATATCTTTCTACTGTGTAGCTGGAAACAGAGCTATCTCTTCTATAAGGGATCTACCAAGAGAGTGATTGTAAAAATCCTCATTTAAAAATATTTCTTTGCCCAAGTCAATTTAATTCATCTCCTACAGGCTGCAGGAGAGCCAGTAACTGTTTCTTCTGGTTACAACTCCAAAGTTCGAGTTCAGTGAGGGATGGTTTTTCCTCTTGGAATCTCTTAGCCATCTGAAATTACCCAGGACAAAGGACAATACAAGAGTGTCTCACTTGAAATTGCTGCATGGAAAGGTCAGGTGTAATGTGGTTGGCCTTGATCATTTTTGATACATCAGTTTAGGTAAGCTGTTCTTAATCATTTAAAAATAATTGCTACCTATCTATGAATATCCAAGGACACCCAAGCAGAATTAGGACAGTTGTCAATCAGATGACAAACATCCTGGGTATCCTTTGATTCCACAGATTTATTCTGAACCTATCATTAGCTGTCACAGGGAGAACTGACTACAGTGAAGATCATGCGCCTATTAACCAATCTGTTCACTCAAGGTAGAGAGAAAATCAAGTGAAGGAAATTGAAGCAGAAGCAGAAGCAGCCAGTCTGATGGGCAGTGATGGGCAGTGCTTCCAGAACAGAGAGAATGAGCAATAGTTAGTGAACACAGAAAGTTAGAGGGCGCTGAGGGGAAAGAAGCCTTAAAACCTAAGAGGCAACGCTGAGCATGTAGGTTTTATTTTGAGCGAATAGGAAGCCCTTGGAGAGTCTAAACAGAGAAGCACCACATTCTGACTCATGTTTCACAAGGGCCAGTCTGGCTGCTGGACAGTTCTCACCTGGAAACCCATCTCTTTGGGTTTTTGTCTCCATCAATAAAAGCTTTTCTTCTCGCTCCAACTGAAATATAAGCTCTGGTTTGAAGGGTTGATTCCCTGTAAAAAAGCAAGAAAAGCAAAAGTTTTTATATTTTGGTGAAGTCCAACTTACTGCATTCCCCCCGCCCCCCTTCATTTGGAATCCTACTTTTGGTATCATAGCTAAGAACTCTTTGCCCAACCCAAGATTGTGAAGTCTTCTTATGTTTCCTTCTAGAAGTTTCATACTTCTACATTTCACATTAGGTCTCACACATTTTGAACTCATCGTTTTGGTGGGGTGTGAGGTACACATATAGATGCACCCAGATGTCCACTGTCTCAGCGCTGTCTGCTGAATACAGATGCCCTGGCACCTATAATACATCCCAAATAGTTTCAGAATTGCGTCTCCCTTATCAGTACAACAGACGAACCCAGTAAACATATTCAGGATTGTGTATCAGTCTCCATCCCCTTCCCACAGTAACCCAAAATAGGGTATATAGTTCCATAGCTACTTCTACAAGTTCTCTTTTATGCATACAAGAACTGGGGTACAGGCCAGAGGTGGGGGTGAGTGAGAGGATTCACCAGAGACAGAGTGGGGAACAGAACATGCAGATTGAAATACACTGCTGAGGGGAGGAGTGGGCAAGACAGGAGAGGTCTGCTGCACCCTGTGGATCAGCTCCCTGGCCAGGGATTGAACTCGTACTGCATTGGCTGCGGATTGCTTCATAGGTTGCGTCTTAACTTGCGCCACCAGGGAGACCCTCAAATACATTTGTTTCATTTTTCTTTAGCTTTAGGTTAACATCCCTTTGCTTTCTTTTTTTTTTTTTTAAAGATTTATTTATGTATGCATACAAGAGCTGGGATACAGGCCAGAGGCGCAGGAGGGTGAGAGGATTCATCAGAGACCGAGTGGGGAATACAACAGGCAGATTGACTGAAATACACTGCTGAGGGGAGAAGCAGGCGAGGCAGGAGGTCAGCTACGCCATGTAGGTAGGTCCCTGGCTGGCAGGGAATCAAACCCACGCTGCAGAGGCTGTGGACAGCTTCACAGCGCTGTGCTTAAACCGTTGCGCCACTGGGGAAGCCCTCCCTTTGCATTCTTTTTTTTAAAAACAATTCTTTTTTTTAAAGATTTATTTATTTATGCAAGCACTGGGTACAGTCAGAAGCGCAGGAGGGTGAGAGAATTCACCAGAGCCAGAGCAGGGAGCAGAACAGACTGACAAAATACACTGCTGAGGGGAGCAGTGGGCGGCAAGGGAGGTCTGCGCGCCATGTGGGACCCTCGTCCAGCGGTCAGGGATGGAACCGGCGCTGCAGAGGCTGCGGGCAGCTTCGCAGCCCAGTGCTCAAGTGCTGTGCCACTGGGGAGGCCCCTCCCTTTGCATTCTTAATTAATCTTTAAAATGTGTTGAATGAACATGTTTTCAGAAGTCCCAACTAGACTAGTGTGACTTTCCTCCACACATCTTCCACACTACTAGCTCCCACCCATTCTGAGAGAAACTAACTTCATGATTTCCTGATTTGTGTTCTTACAAAGATAAGCAGCTAAACACGCATTTGCTTATTTCCCCTCTTACATCAACTGCTATATACTATTAATGCTCTTTTTTGCATTTTGCTACATGTTTAGGGAAAATTCCTAGAAGTAAATTGCTGGGAAAAGGTCAAATTCCCTTCCTCAGGGGTTGTACCATTTTGTGTTCCTACTTTTAAGAAAAGTGCTTTGGGGCCTCCCCAGTGGCGCAGCGGTTGAGCGCTGGGTTGCAAAGCTGCCCGCAGCCTCTGCAGCACCAGTTCAATCCCCGGCAGCTCCCCAGACACTGGAGGAGGGTCCCACATGGCGCGCAGACCTCTCCTGCTGCCCGCTGCTCCCCTCAGCAGTGTACTTCGGTCCTTCTGCCTGCTCTGCTCCCCGCTCTGGCTCTGATGAATTCTCTCTCCCTCCCGCGCTTCTGAGTGTACCCAGTGCTTGTATAAATAAATAAATAAACAAAATCTTTAAAAAAAAAAAAAAATTAAAAAAAGTGCTTTGTCCCCAAAATCACAGTGTTACTGAATTTTGCCAATTTCGTGGGTGAGTAAATTTTCGTGAGTAAATGAAATTTCATTTCTTTCTTACTTTGAGTGAAATACCTATTCATATCCGCACATATCTAGATGTGTGTGTTTATAGATGTACGTATGTATACACACATGGACATATATACAAGTGTACACACACACACCTCCAAGTTCTATCCCCGAGACCAAGAAACACAGACATACATGAGAATGAGGAAGAACAGGAACATAAAGTGATAAAGTAAATGGGGTAAAACGTTACTATAGGTGACACTGAAAAAAGTGATATGTGTGCTCTTGTTTTCTACTTGTAGTTTTACAAATTTTTGGTGACTTTTATTAGAAATACACTGCTAGACCAAAAAACAAAATACTTCTGAAAAAATCAAGTTCATAATGTTACTAGTACACTGAATAATAGAAAAGCTAAAACGACTGAAAAGCTAAAACACTGAACTGATTTCATGGCAAACCAATGAGGCAGAACCACAGTTTGGCCACTGATAGTTGAACGGACAGATTTCTGTCTGGACAGTAATACTAGAAACATCTTTGTCTGTGCTGCCCATGAACAATCAGGATTCTATTAAGTCAAAACTCAGAGACTGATTTCAGGAGTCCCAGAGCTTCACTCAACCTAGCGCATAAAGATACCCCAGGAGTTTGACTCTAAGTCTCGGAGCGTGCCTTCCTCACCCAGTGAGAGAAGGTTCCGAAAGGTCTCCAGCATCACATCTCGGTACAGCCGCCTCTGGGCAGAGTCCAGCAGCCCCAGCTCCTCCTCCGTGAAGATCACAGCCACATCCTTGAACGTCACCAGGTCCTACAAGACCAAACACACAGAGATTATGTTTAGGGAAGAGGAGCAGCACTGAGAAAGTGTAGAAGATAAGAGGCTGTTCAAGATTCTGAGGCACCTGAGTCATATTTAAGCAGCTGCCTTCTCTTTGCCTTTTTCATTGCTAATACCACCCACCAAAGGGGCTGTAAGAAAAGAAATTCTTGCATTTTAAGTTGCCCCCTTTTGTTAGCAATCCCATAGGCAAGTCCCTGGAAATAAGTTGCATCATAGGTTACTGACATTTAAAATTCTATTAATAATGCTGTATGCCCCAGAAAAGTTTTAATTCCAACAGTGTGTAATGAGTCTGTATTTTCTCTTTTATAGACACACAGAACTTCTTTACTATCTGCCAAACTTACAGGTTATCAGTCACCCATACTGTTCAAGTATGTAGCTCATCCTCTGTGCCCATCCAGAGTGTGCAGTGTTCATGGTGTTGTGTGCCACAACTGTGGCACCTGACTGCCTGTGTTCACACTGGAATGCCCTACCCCACGTTAGCTGTGTGACCTTGGACAAATTCCTCATCTTCTCATTTGCACAATGATACCTGTTCCATAGGGTACTGGTAATAAAATGAGTGACTACAGGTAAAGCATTTAGGAACAGTCCCTGGCGTATAGTAAGCCCCCAATAAATGTTAGCTATTATTTCATCATACCATCTCAGATATGTATAGTAATTCAAGGAACTGATGACATAGAATATAATGAACTGATTCAAACAATGCATACTTAATTAATTTGAGATATCTATTATAAGCAATGTTGAAAAAAATCCTTTCACATAAACGTTTTTCCCTGGAGTTCTGTTGATTATCTCCTTAAAATCCCATAAAGTACAAGTGTTAAGAATAACCTTAAACGCTATGAAATCCTAATGGCAGATGTTTCCTAACAGTTATTTTACCAAAGTATTCTTCCAAGAAAGTATAAACCCCTAAACCTATAGAAGCTAACATTATACATGAATACTAAAATATATCCCCGATAATCTCAGAATTTGAAAAGTAAAAAAGCAGTCCTTGAGAAAACTTTTCACAAAGTTCTTTAGTGTAATGAAGATCATTATTTTCATCGCTGGTTGTCTGTGCTTCTTGTTTTGCGACAATCTTCATATGGTGGATATTAAGACCTTTTCTTCCAGGTATGTTGTGAGTCTTTTTAATTCTACTTTGCTGTTTGTCTTGAGACTTTTTTGCTATAGGGAAATTTAACTTTTTATATGAAGACCTACTCAATACTGCACTTGTTCTGGCCAGACCTCTCAGGCACACATCTTATTGCCTGAATGAGACCTCTGGTTTTGTTTGGGGTAGTTTTTTCTTGCCTCTCTTTCCACCCAAACGGTTTGCCTGCTACTACTGATTCTGAAGGCGAGGCTTTGGAGCTGGCTGGACCCTTGTCTTCAGCAGGCACCTGAGCACTAAGCTGGACTTGAACTTGTATGAAGCTCTTCTCTTCATGTTAACAGTGGGATGAACAAAGTGGACAGATGGAAAGTACCTGCATATCCTATGACTAAAATTTTTAATTTAGATACCTGTATTTTAATAAGTCTATACATGAATAGTGAAACACACAAAGACACACTAACATACACAGACATACACAGAGGAAGCTTCAGGTCCTGGGAAGAAAGATCTTTATATATGAAAACATCTAATACTATTTTTTTTTGCAAGTTCAGCTTCATTGTCATCCTGTTACAGAAAACAATTTCTTAGGTATTTATTAATAATGTACCCAAGGCAGCCATGAGAGAAAAAACTTTTTTTAAGTTTGAGACCCTAAAACAAGAATAATATTACAATCTTCTCAGGATTGCTATCTATACAAAGATTGTATATAGGAAAACTATATATAAAACTGCAAGAATCGAGCCTCCCTGGTGGCACAAAAGGTTAAGCACCACACTATGAAGCAATCCCGCAGCCTCTGCAGCATGGGTTCGATCCCAGGCCAGCCAGGGAGCAACCCACATGGCAAGGTAGACCTCTCCTGTCTCGCCTGCTGCTCCCCTCAGCAGTGTATTTCAGTCAGTCTGCCTGTTCTGTTCTCCGCTCTGTCTCTGGTGAATCCTCTCACCCCGCACCCAGCATCTCTGGCATGTACCTCAGCTCTTGTATGCATAAATAAATATTAAAAAAAAAAACTGCAAGAATCCTCAAGAACTTAAAAGCTTATGAATGGGTAATAGTCAAAATGGGGGGGAGGAGTTGACAAGAATTCATTGAAATAATATTACATGACAAAAATTAAATGTCATAACTTTAAGAGAGGGAAAAAACAATTAAAAATTATGTTATTATAAATATATACGCATACACAGGCTACTGGAAGAAACAGGCCGTCCGTAAGCAGAATAATAACATATGGGTTTTTTCCTATTTGATTTTTATTCTTTTACACTGTTATATGTGAAATAAAATAATAATGAAACCGAAACTGAAAGGACATTTTTACAAATGAAACAAACCTGGCACAAGATGATATTAAATATTGCTGATTGTAGAGATTGTCTTGAGGACATGATATTTAATTTAAAAAAGACTAGTATTATATATCATAATATGTATTATATACATGCAGTAACAAAAACTCTAAAACGAGCCTATGTACACTCCTTTCCTCTCGGCAAGGAGAAGGAAAGAAAGGTACCCACTCACTGAGAAATGAAGGCACATGTTAAGTATCAAAAACAAAAATCCAACTCACCTGGAACTTCATCATTTTCTCCTCCTTTTCTTAGGGAAAGGCAGAAACCTGAAAAGGCAGGACAAGTTAATGAGGCAGATGCTCCACACACCTCAGCAGGGAATGTAGGTTGGATCCCAGGCTTTTTGAGGCTGCGCTGGCAGGATGCCCTCGTCCGTGGGGCAGCCCACATAGCAGGCCCCATACATCCCGCACTCTCAAGTTCTCATTTTCATCCTGGGAAATGTGGGCAAGGAGATGCTGTCGGGGGTACTGGCTAAAAGTGGACTCTGGGGACAAATCATTTCCCAGACCTGGCACTGCTATCTGTTTGCTGTACATCTGCGGTATATTCACATTGCTACCTAACCATGGTTACCATCACTCACCTTTCTACACTTCATTTCTGTAATTCACATCAGGATCATAAAACGATCCATGTTGTAAGACTGTTGTTAGGGTGACATGTGGGTAGGGAAAAACAGTTACAATCATAGCAACATTTTCTATTACTTCACAGCTACAGAAAAGCTATTCCATATCATAAAAGTGTCCCCGCACATGTGTCCTTTAAGACTGTGGATGGCATAATTATGACTTCTTTCTTAATATTGATGGCTAGCAGGAAGTAACAAAGTGTAAGCTCCTTGCAAAAATCACTAATGTATGAACAATAAGCCCAATTATGGACTGTAGCAATTTACTTTTTCTTCCAAAATACAAGCCTTGATTAAACCATTTCATATTCTATATTATGCATACCTTTACTTCACAGATTAACGAACCACATAAAACAATTTTATTTTCACCATCAGGATAGTGGTATTTTTCACTATCATACACCTTTCTTCCATGTCACTTGAAAACCTGTGTCAAAACAATTTGACAGCCAATGTAAACAATTAATCAATACACAATGATCTTTCATCCTTTTAAAGATACATATTGGGCCTCCCTGGTGGCACAGCAGTTTAGCGCTGGGTTGCAAAGCTGCCCACAGCCTCTGCAGCGCCGGTTTGATCCCTGGCCACCGGGTGAGGGTCCCACATGGTGCGCAGACCTCTCCTGCCGCCATCTGCTCCCCTGAGCAGTGTCTTCGGTCTGTCTGCCTGCTCTGCTCCCCGCTCTGGCTCTGGCTCTCTCACCTTCCGCGCTTCTGACTGTACCCAGTGCTTGTATAAATAAATAAGTAAATCTTTACAAAAAAAAAAATAAAGATGCATGTTAATTCATGTTGTTAACCTTAGGATCATAGTGCACAGAATCTAAATATACAGCTGGGGTGACTTTCTAATGAATGTGGGATCCCACACTTTACTCACAATCCCTCTATAACCAACAAGTTCATGTCACAGTCCTGATCTTGCTCAATCATGGGGAGGCAGAAGTAAAAGAATATTCTTCCTGTTATAATACTATGCCCACTGCCAGCAGTGAACGTCCCCAAACCTCCAAGAAGTCATTGTTATTGCACAGTAATACATGAGGGCCTTGTACTTTCCCAAAAGCTTACAAAAATAAAAACAAAAACCAGAATTATATCTGACATTTCTTGACACCTGCATTAATCCTGTATGATCAATGAATGCATGCTTGAGGGCCTCCCCTGGTGGCGCAGCGGTTGAGCGCTGGGCTGCGAAGCTGCCCGCAGCCTCTGCAGTGCCGTTTCAATCCCTGGCTGCCAGCAAGGGTCCCACATGGCGGGACAGACCTCTCCTGCTGCCCGCTGCTCCCCTCAGCAGTGTATTTCGTCAGTCTGCCTGTTCTGTTCCCCACTCTGGCTCTGGTGAATTCTCTCACCCTCCCGCGCTTCTGACTGTACCCAGTGCTTGTATAAAATAAATAAATAAATCCTTAATAAATAAACAAATAAATAAATAAATAAATGCTTGAACTGAACCAGCAGTCAATGTGCACCCAGAATGCCAAAGAGTAAAAAGGCAGTAACAGCAAGTAGCCTTCAGGTCTACAGCAAGAGCCTATCAGTCTTGTCCAGTCAAAGGTTAAAGTTTGTTTTCTCAATAAGCCTTTCTTCCACTAGGAGGACGATAACAGTGACATTAGCAGGTGTCATCATGTCATTACCATGTTTCTTTGGATTCATGTTAAATGTTTCAACACAAAAAGAACAACCTGCTGGTCATCTTGTACAACTGAATTTTGAACACTGTTCATTTAAAGTCATCCCAGGAGGTGGGTAATTTAGCAAAACCAGCATTTCTTTCCACAGTCGCTTCTGCATTGATGCCCTGATGGAACTACCCCCCCCCCCCGCCCCGAGGCTGGCAAGGCCAGAGACCAGTTTCTTGGATTCTTCTTCAAGGTTATTTACTGCTCTCAATAGTTATTTACCTTATTTACTGTTCTCAAGCGACTCAATAGTTATCCGTGGAAGAGAAAGCACTTAAAAAAGGCCTAGTCATGGGCTATGAACGAGGCAGAGCCTTCTAGTACCACCTCAGAGAAGTCTTCTGCTACTCCAGTGGAGAACTCCTCCCTTTCCAAGTCCCTGCCCATCTGGGCCACTGCTGCAGAGCTCAGAGTACAGGCACAAGAGCCCAAGACAAGTATTAACTTGGCTGCATAATTAGCAGTGAAAGTCAAGTCCTCTTTAACTTACCCAATATTTATAGAATATCTTCTAAAAGGGATAGTCTCCAGATTTCTAGATGCTCTCAGCCTAGCGTGGGAAACTAGGTGGGAAGGTAGCAAGTATACTAGACACAGATAGATGCCAGAGTGGTTTAAATAAGGACCTTTGGGAGATCATGGAGGGGCTCCCAAATCCAAACTAGATAAGGGAGTAGATTGGATGCATTCCATGGAGAAAATGAGGTCTGGGCTAAGGCCAGCTACTCAAGGTAAGAGGACTGAAACAGTATGCGGGTCAGAGGGTACCTGGAGCAAATAAAGAAGCAGAAAAGGTGGTGAGAAATCAAAAGCCATGCACTGTAGAGGAATTGCCTTGTTTAATCCTCACAACAATCCAAAAGGTTGGGAGAATTTTTAAAGTTGAGAATGAGATTTCAAGTTATTTGCTCATGATGACCCACATAGTCAGCAGACAGCCAAGATGGTTAGCCCAGAGTCTGTGTTCTTAATTACTAGGAGAGCGCGCTCAATCTGCCAGCTCACTGGTATCACTAGAAAGTTCAAAAACAAAAAAGCAAGCAAACAAATGAAAATCCAATGCCCGGGCCCCAACCAGAATCTGTAAATCAGGATGTGTGCAGAAAGAGCTTTTATGAAACACCACTTCCCCTAGGTGACCACAATTTTCAGAGATAGTTGCAAACCACAGACTATGGTACGAACAGAAGCAATTTGCAAGCTGAGCCCACACGATTAACCACCAGGCAATCCAGACTCTCCGGGAGTAAAGGAAATGAGTGGAAAACACACAAGCCAGGAGCAGAGCAGGGCGTGGGATTTGGCCCTTCTCATTCACAGCTCCCCACTGCTCCCCTAATGTCTTGAAGCCATCTGAGAGGAAAGAACAGCAGTATGATTTGTGGGTGTCTTTGTAGGCAGACATTCAGCATGAACACAGGTTTCTAGTTTAGATGTCTGATCAACATCAAGCAACAAGCATCACTAATCAACTGAGGGACTTTGAGTATTCAGAATATAAAGCAACTCGGGCCTCCCCAGTGGTGCAGCGGTTGAGCGCTGGGTTGCGAAGCTGCCCGCGGCCTCTGCCGCGCCCGTTCGATCCCCGGCTGCTCCCCGGCCACCGGAGGAGGGTCCCACATGGCGCGCAGACCTCTCCTGCTGCCCGCTGCTCCCCTCAGCAGTGTACTTTGGTCCTTCTGCCTGCTCTGCTCCCCGCTCTGGCGAATTCTCTCACCCTCCCTCGCTTCTGACTGTACCCAGTGCATGTACAAACAAACAAACAAACAAATAAATAAATAATACATGCCTCTTTAAAAAAAAAAAAATTAGAACTGCAGAATATAAAGCAACTCATGTTAAACAGGCATTTAAACAGTGGTCAGCCTATAGAAAGTTCTTATTTCTTCACATGATGGACAGTCTGATTATGTTAGTTCCTTTCTTAGTTAAAACATGTGCATGGCTGCCCAGTGCCTTTAGGATAAGGGCTAGACTCTTAGCCACACAGGAAAATCACCCATGGCTATGTGCTCATTTTTCCTTTAAATTGTCTCTCCCCTGCAACCTTCAGTTATGGAAATCACTTGATCCCACAAAAAAAGCCTACAGGATTTTACAGGTGCCATTTCTTCTGTCCTCCTCTTTTCACCTAGATCAGAGGTTAGCAAACTTTTTCTTGTAAAGGAACAGATGGTAAATACTTTGCATTTTGTAGGCCCCATTCAGTCTCTGGCAAATATCGTTTTTTTCTCATCTTTCTTTTTACAATCCTGTAAATGTAAAACCCACTCTTAGCCAGGGAGGAAAGGGCAGTAGTTTGCTCACTTGCATCCTAGATCCTCTTAGCTTTTTCTACACAGCTTATATGTCCCCTGCTGCAGGACACCTTTTAACAGGTTTTGTGCTAGCCTTATTAACTCCTAAAATCCACTTTGGTGGTCTAAGGAAAGCAGAGAATCTTGGCTAAGAGCCCAGGCTACATTCAAGCTGCCAACTTTCAAACCTTATTGTCATTTCTGGGCAAACTCTTGCAAGTTAATTAATCTCTTGATGCCTCTGTTCTTCATCTGTAAACTCTAGATAAAAGTAGGGTTGTGAAGAGGAATATAGGAATTAATGCATCAAATTATTGGAAAGTCAGTGTGGCTCATAGCAAGCATCTAATACATATTAGTTATGATTAGTCCCATCCTCTTTCTTGTCACATGAATTAAATACAGAAGCCACAAATTAACCCTGCTTTGTTTTTAAGAGTATTTGTTTTAGGTAATTATCAATAGGTATATATCACCCTTACACATGTTGGAAACAGTGATGGCTTCTCCATCCCACCAAAACTAACTGAGAAAGCAGGCAATGTTTATATTGTTTGACTCTCCCACATTCGTTTTCAGAAAGTCTGAATACAAAATTTCCTGGGCCAAAATTTCCTATTTCCTGCTGCCTGT